TGAGAAAGATGATTAAACATACGTGTCCCATTTTACCAGTTGTCTCATTTAACATCTGTATTCACCCAGTGTTCTTCTTTCTTTATGATGTCTAGACTCAGTATTTGACTTACAGTTTCCAATTTTTTTTAACTTTTTTCTTTCTTTCTTTCTTTTTTCTTCTTTTTTTTTTGTAGAACAACAATCAACATGTATTTTCTTTCATTATGAGAAAGATGATTAAACATACGTGTCCCATTTTACCAGTTGTCTCATTTAACATCTGTATTCACCCAGTGTTCTTCTTTCTTTATGATGTCTAGACTCAGTATTTGACTTACAATTTCCAATTTTTTTTAACTTTTTTCTTTCTTTCTTTCTTTTTTCTTCTTTTTTTTTTTGTAGAACAACAATCAACAAAGAGGAAGAAGAAAGGCATCTGTGCATTCTTCCGCCGAACATGGAGGGCTGTTAAGCGTGCTGCCCTCTGTTGCCAAAGGGGCAACAAAGTGGCTCCAGATCCATTTGCCATTGACCCAGTGGCTCAATGGGATATGTCAGATCTGCTGCCAGTTTTATTCAGCCTTGGTTGGCTGACACTTAATGCTGAGCCAACATATCTGGAGCCATCACCTGTCCCAGGTCCATCCAAACTGAATAATGAGCCAATGCCTGCCCCACATCAATCTAGTTATGAGCCACCTGTTGGTAAGTCTACTGTCATTATTAATCTACTGTCACTACTTTTATTCTAGTTGTATTTTTACTAGTGCTGTCAAGAGATTATTCGCATCCAAAAATATGACATAAAACATGACATACAATTAATAAGGATAGAAAATATTTGCCTCTATAAAGGTAAAAAAATGCACCTGTAAATCAATTTAAGGGGGCAAATATTGTCCTTTAATAGAACAGGTGTGACTGCGGTCTAAATGGAAGAGAGGGGGTACGCAGAAGAATGTTAAGTGCCCCAGGGGGTACGCCGCTTTAAAAAGTTTGAGAACCACTGAGTTAGACAATAAAATATTTTTGACTCAAATCAGAATATCATTCCCACCTAATTATTTGAAGTACGGTAATGAGTATAAATGATGAGATCTACCCACTTAGCCTATTTTGTATTGACAACCATATACAATTTAAAACTCTATACATACTATACTTTCAAGAATAGTTTGTATTTGTGTTGCATTTTTCTAGGTAGTTTCTTATAACTCTTGCAATCTTATTTCAAGAACAAAACAAAGTCTCTTAATGTTACAATTTTAGGATTGGTTTATACAAACATAATAAGGCAGACTAGTTTCTATACTGTAATAAATGTTATGTCAATTAGCACTGCATTATTCATACACTATATTTATTACCTGAAATTTTTTGTTCTTTTTTTTTGCTACAGCCATAGCTGGATGCCTTTGTCCATATTAGGGATTTCCTGCACGTCATAAGTTATTATATATTACTTCTACTAGGCCGTTTTGGACTTTCTGCGCCAGAGTGCCCTCCGACTTCGAGTATGAATGAAACATGCACTGCATGTTCACATGGTCTCGTTTTGGATATGAATAAATCGTCCGGTCATACATAGACATCTTGTTTGTTCGCCCATGTGCACACACATCCAAAGCATGTGCGCAGAAAAAGTGATTTAAAATGCATCTGATTGATAGATAAATCATGGTTGATCTATCAGCCAGATGCACGTAAAAATGCATGCGCTCTTATTTCAATGTTGTTGTTAATGTTGAGGTTATTTTAGCTTCGTACATTTAGTTTAACTGCACTGTTAAAGAGGGAGATTTTTACCATTCAACTGAACTGTGTACATGTATTTTAGACACATTGTTCTTGCTCCGTCCATGCAATAATTCTATCAACCGAGTTTTCTATTTACATACTGCTCTGTGCTCTGGTAATATCAACGGTATGACCCATTTCAGGAGCTGACAAAATTATGATTTAAAATCAGAGCATAGCTCACATTCACTAAAATATTGAAACGCTATGCTGATTCAAAATGACAACGCCATTGATTGACAGTCAAAGCAAAGTGGCAAGTGTGGGTTGAATGGCCCGCCCCCCAGCTGAACTGGAAGTTTTGATTGTTTTTTTTACCCGAGTCAGACCTGTCTGTTATTGGCTGAATCGCAGGGCTCCACCCCAGCAGTTTGAAATGTGCCCGTCAAATGCCGGCTCACTCTGTTTCTGCATTGGCGCCTCCTTTGTCTATTTTTTTTATTTATTTATTATTATTTAATTATTTTGGTGAAAAATAAATGTAGCAAAGTTAATACTTTAGTTTTATTTTACTCAAGTAAAAGTAAAAGTAAAAGTACCACAATTTAATTATAAATGTAAAAATGTACTCAAGTACTGTAACGAATGTATTTGTAATTAATCACTTTCCACCTCTGCCTGACGGTTTTTAATGACTGAAATATGGCGGCGGGTGCTGTATATGGATCGCATGTGCCCAAAACTTGCAGTTTGTCTTCATATCTTATTTTTTCTTCTTTCGACAGGTAATCCAAATATTCGTAGCTTGAAACAGAAGGAAATCTGACTGGCTTGTGCTGCGTCTCTACGGAGATCCCAGTGTAAGCCACCATGTTAGCCCACTGTTTTGCCCGCCAGGGTACCGCACAGGTCACGTGACTGAAAACTATCAATTAGCATAGACGCAGCCCTGAGTGAAAAGCAGCAGTCCACCATTACTGTTTTCTTGCTGTAACGTTAGCTGCTGGAGATATACAATGGCTGCATCCGAAAACTCTAAAATTCCAAGCATTCCAGCATTCCAGCATTCCAAGGCAGGAAGGCATCAAGGCACGTCCGAATCCAAATTCTGCTTTACTTCCTGTCTCCGGAGGTATTTTGAAGGCAGCATAGATGTATCCTTCGTTGCCTTTGATATCCCACAATCCTGTGCATTCCATTCCATGACGGGTTGAGCTAAAAAATAAAGAGGGCATCTGAAAGTTGCGTTTGGTGGTCAGTTTGTGTGTAAATGTATATTTCTGACTAACTTTTTGCACTTTTGATGTTATTTCTAGCGAGAAATCAGTATTACAGTCATTAAATATTCGTTTAGTTATCACAAAAACTCATTCTATTTTGTTGTAGATCATTAAACCGTTACGCTGCCTCAGAAGCCTGTCCGAAATCAGTTTCATGAGGTGCCTTCGTGCAAAAACGCTGCCTGCAAAGTCATTGCCTCATACACCAGCGAGGTTTTCGGATGTAGCCAATGTCACCGCTAAAGAGGCTTTACAAGTGTTGTGTTTTGGGATGCACCAACGAACATAGGAGTCTCCATAGACTCCCTCCATATGAGCTGCTGAGGACACTGTGTTTAAATTGCATTTTCGAAGGAAATATCCTGAAAAAAAATGGGTAAAGTCCCCTATTAGGGATCAATACCATCGCTTCGTGCATGAACGTCAGCTCCAGATATAGTATCACACGTTTGTTTTCCAAATTGCCTTTCTGAAAGAGCTTCTTGGCACTCTGTAATGCTAATGTTACTAAAGCTATGCCTGTTTTCATTGATGCTGCCTTCATGTGCTCCCAGAATGTTCATAAATAGGAATGTGGTGTTTAAAAATTGCATATGAAAGCAATGTGAAGTCAACCGTTTTAATTTGTCGAGCTCATAATCACAAGTGGGACTTAAAAGTTTGTGATAGCACGCTAAGTCACAATGAGACCAGCTGTCGTTTTATTTTATTTTTTTTCATTGTGCTGTGCTCCTCATCTGTGTAATTCATAAACAATCATTTATTATGCACAGTACAATCAGATTTCTGACTTTTAAACAGAGTATGTTTTCTGTAAAGATAACAGGCTTGTACCAAAAGTGTAGGGATGCACGATATTATCGGACCGATATCAGAATCAGCCGATAATGGCTTTAAATACATATCGGCATCGACCAGATATGAGCAATTATGCCAATATGTCTTGCAGATAAGAGGAATACATTAACTCACATGTGCTCAGGGTGTGCTAGCGATTAGATCACGTCAGCAGTCTGACTCATTTTTGAAGCAAAGTTTTGCCTGAATGGTGATTAGATTCACTACTTTGGATCGCTGCATTTAATCTGTAAAAGCACATACAGAATGATGCATTCGGTGTGTAATATAGTATAGAGTAATAGCACGTGCAGCGGCAGCAGTGGCAGCCTCCCCCGGGTCCTAATGTTCGTTCGGTAAGGAGTTTTAATTCCGTAGGGGACGCTGTTGACCTACTTTTAATACAACGAAAGTAAAATACACAAATAACATTTAGACTGTGTTTCTGATTAAATAAAGCAGTAGGCTAATTGATGTCATAAAATCATGATGATAAAAAATGTTTTGATTTAAAGGTCAGAAGAAATTTTTTTCCGAATTTTTACAACTCTTTTGCTTTAGACCAGGGGTGGGCAAACTTGGCCCTTCCAGGTCACTTTACTTCAGAGTTTAGCTCCAACCATAATCAAACACACCTGAACCAGTTAATCATTGTCTTCAAGACTACTATAAGGCTACAGGCAGGTGAGTTTTTAAAATAATTTGCTTATAATTTCCACACAGGAGAGATTTGGTGTTGTTTCCAAACAAAAGGAAATATATCGGCATTGGCTATCGGCCAAAAAGAGATGAAAAATATCGGCAAAAATCCAATATTGTGCATCCCTACAATAGCGGAATGTTTATTTGCAAAATCCAGCACCTGTGTTGCTGGAGCTTGAGCTCTTAAAGCTCCGCCCTCTTCTGAAAACGGCCAGGAGCACCAGCTCATTTGCATTTAAAGGGACACACAAAAACGGTGCATTTTGACTCATACCTTAAAAGTGGCAATTCTAACAAGCTATAAAACATGATCTGTGGGGTATTTTGAGCAGAAACTTAACATACACACTCTGGGGACATCAGAGACTTATTTTACATCTTGTAAAAAGGAGCATAATAAAGGTAAATAAAGGTCCCCTTTAAGTGAAGTAAACTTCTAGGACAAGGATTAAGAACCGCTGATATACTGTAACTCAATATAATGATATAATAGAAGGATATAATTATATATGAAATAACTCAAAGTCAAATGAAAGATACTCTGAATTTGGAAGTGGTTCTGATGCTCTTGATGAAAGAACCTCCCATATGTTATATCATTATAATATGTGGCTAGATAAACCAAATGAAACTATCCTGATTTGGGAATTTACAGACTCCCGTGAGACCTTGTTGGATCTCCATAGGCACAAAGTCACCTGGAACAAAAGCTAGCACAGAAGTGCAAAAGTGCAGACCATACCATGGTGATATACATACTAACAATGTTCTGATTAAAACAGAGACCTTGAAGTTAAAGCTCTTTGGCTTTGGATATGGTAAGCTAGTCGGTGGTAAATTTTCCTTTCGAAAACATTTACATGTATACATTTGGCAGGCACTCCAAAGCAAGGCTTTCGAGATATACATTTTGACAGCACAGTGTACACTGGAGTTATGATACCTGAATGATGGGAGATTGATCTTCATCAATAGGCCTCAGAAAAATGTAGTGTAAAATTTAAATGTTCTTAAAATGAGAACAATTAACAAGTCATCTTCTGAGATTAAATATTAGATCATAAACTGTGTTCCCCTGAATTATTATTTAATCTTTCAGCAATTTTTTTTTTTTTTTTTTTGCTCCTTGAGTGATTCGTCTAAGTGAATCACTTAAATGTTAAACACAGTCATTGTTAGGTTAGAAAGAAACTAATGAAATACAGTAGTAAAGAAACGCATATCCGTAGTGCCAAACTTTAATCTAAAAAAGTGATTTCAAGTATCAGTATGACTTTAAACACACACTTGACACAAAAGAAAAGAAAAGCATTTGGAAGAAATGGAAATGCTTCAAACAGGACATTCAATAAATCCAGTGTACACTTCATCATTGCTTAACCCTGTAATAATAACCTGTGTAATAATAATACAATTAATTTAAATATATTACTGACTGTTAACGTATCACACAAGAAAACATGACTTAAAAAACAGGAACATGCAAGGAAATTGACATGGTATATATATACAACTCTGTATCAGACAAATGGTACCAGATTTACTGAGGGTTAAGAAGTAATCAGTTTTGTTTTACACATGATTAGCACAGTTAACCAAATTCAAAATAAAAAAATAAAGAATAATTTAAAAAAATTAAATGCTTTCAAATGCATACAGTTAAAACTCTTTATACAGATTCTACTAAACAAGAAATAAACTATTATATGAGATGGTTTCCAAATTAATTTAAAAGTTAAATCTCTAACACTAAATCACCTCTCATATCTCTGCTCCAAATGGTTTAATCTGAGGGGGAGTCTGATTTATTTTCCTGTTCAATTAATTTTACATTATTTTTTATAGAACATGAAGTGAAACACAGAAGTCTGAAGACCATGAGATGATAAAAAACATTTTACATGTCTTCTCTGGGGGTCCTGGAAATGTTCTGGGAGGTAGTGGGGGATTCAGTTTCAAAAACATCGTCTTCCATTCCTTCTTCAATTGGCTTCATAGTCGTGGATGCTTTTGTCAGAGGATTTTTCTCTGGAGGAAACAAACAAACAAACAAACAAAAAAAAACGAATCGTCAAAGTCTGAAATAATGTTTTTTAATAATGTCTTTCACAATAACAGTATGTAGTTACACATTAAGATTTAGGTATAATGTTTTATAAAGTCATATATGGAGACAACATTTTCTATCATTCTCTTAACATTAATAACTGTTTCAACAGTACTGTTGATAATGTAAATAAAATCACACAAACAATAAAAAATTACAACTTTGTTATACACTCTGTGCATGTTATATAAAATTAGCAGTATCCAAAATGTGTGGGCTGGAAATCAGTTTTTGAGTCTTGTGTCTGAAGGATCGGTCACGCTACACTTTTTGTTCCATTCATTCCCATTAATATGCATGCTGGAAACTCAAGATCATGCGAATTTCACTGCATTACAAAGTTCGAATTTTGCATTCTGAATTAATTCGAAGTGAAGACATCGAATCAGGTGCGTCACTTCAAAGCTGCAGGTTTGCAGCACTGCAGGTAAGTGGAGTACATTTTTTACATGTATTATTATTTCTCATATGCTGAATTTCTTTAAAAAAAAGATACAACAGAGACTGGCAATGTCATATTATGGCTGTTGTAGTATTCAAGAAATGTTGCATGTCCAAAGTCTAATGTGACCGCAGTATATAAGAAGTGAAAGAAGTGCTTTTATTGTGACGTTGATTAATATCCGACGTGCATTAGTCTGTAGTACTTTAGTGTGCATACCCCTTTAAAAATCTGCAAGATGTTTAAATCCTGCTGTATCATAATTGATACACAATTTCTAAGGCCTCTAAATTATCAACATGATCAAATCTTTGCTGAAAAACGTTCTGGTTACGAATGTAACCTTGGTTCCCTGAGAAGGGGAATGAGACACTGGTAATGAGACATATGGTAATTGAAATAGTCTGAAGCATGTGTACTACACGCCAATCTCGATTGGCCACCACCTGATGGTAATTGTCCCAATCGCATCTACTGATTATAAAACATGTCTTCAGCTGTGCATTAGTCTGTAGTACTTTAGTGTGCATACCCCTTTAAAAATCTGCAAGATGTTTAAATCCTGCTGTATCATAATTGATACACAATTTCTAAGGCCTCTAAATTATCAACATGATCAAATCTTTGCTGAAAAACGTTCTGGTTACGAATGTAACCTTGGTTCCCTGAGAAGGGGAATGAGACACTGGTAATGAGACATATGGTAATTGAAATAGTCTGAAGCATGTGTACTACACGCCAATCTCGACTGGCCACCACCTGATGGTAATTGTCCCAATCGCATCTGCTGATTATAAAACATGTCTTCAGCTTCTTTTTTTTAAGATTTATTTTTTTTTTTGCCTTTATTATGATAGGACAGTGTAGAGCAGACAGGAAGCAAATTGGGAGAGAGAGTGGGGCGGGATCGGTTAAGGCCCTTGAGCTGGGATTCGAACTTGGGACTCCCCGTAGAACAAGGCTATTGGTTCCGACTATGTCTTAAGCTTTGTTGTCTGAAGGAAGACGAGTAGGCATACCCAAGGTATGGTAACATGACGCAGTGTTTCGTTCCACTTCTCAGGGAACATTCACACTCGTAACCCAAGATGTTCCCTTCCGAAGTAATTGTATCAATCATCAACCGTAATTGATTTTTTCGGGAACGAAAACCCACTGTGCCATACCTATCACCGCCTTCCATGTATGCCCATGACAAAGAGTGTGAGCGTGACACTTCTGAGTCTATGGACCACCGTCTCAACAGTGGTGCGGAAGAGTCAAGCAGGTGAAACCAGGGCATCAAGGAGAAAAGGGGTTCCTCAATGACTTGTAGAGCTCGCCATGCAGCTCAGGGAGGAACGGAAGGCTCAGAGGAGGCAGATGAGTCAACCAAGTTCAATGCTTTGTTAAATCATATGTTCGAAGCATTCGAAATTTAAAGAGCAGTGGTACTGCCTTGAAATCCTACTTATATCTATAACAATAAATTAAATTGAATTTCAAAAAAGTTTATAAACTTAGTAGACAAAAGGGGTATACAAACCGCAACTGTATGTATATAGAAGGTGATGTACAGTTAACTGGCAAAAACCCAACAGATTGATCTGGACCCTGTTGCAAAGCAAAACAGCTAACTGTCCATTCTTCCATTATTAATATGTGGCTATTTGTCGAATAAAATATTTAAAAATGAAAAATGCATATGAAGTATTGATTTTATTTAAAAACAAAAAAGAGAGTGCAGAGTGATACGAAAGATATTAAACTATATACACTGATCAGCCACAACATTAAAAAACACTGATAGTAGTAAATAATACTGATTATATCTTTACAATGGCACCTGTTGGGGGATGGGATATATTAGGCAGCAAGTGAACTATCAGTTCTTGAATTTCACATGAAGCAGGAAAAACATTCACCTTGTGTTTTGAGTTTGCGCTCCGTCAAATTAATTATTTATCGTCAAATTTTTTATCTTAAAATCAATTTTATACACCATAATTTTAATTTCTATAACGTGTGAATATATCCCCTATCGTATTCTACAACAAAAACAATCAGAGCGCCTTGTTATCACTAGTTTTATTTTGATTTCCCGAGTCCGCTATTAGCTTATAGCCCGTTAGCATCGCCAGCGTGTTTGCCGCTATCTCGCTTACATTGCTAATTCTCTATTCACACACATTACCATTGTTTTACTCACTGTTACTTGCTTTAATGGTGGATGTGTGTCTACCTTTGAGTGCAGGTGAGGACACATTCATAGCTCGAGCTGGAGGCCGTGGAGAAGCAGACCCAGCTGAGAGAGAAACATCTCGAGCTGACGCTCACAAGTCTGGGGTAAGTATACAGCGCGCTGCTAACTCTCCCACCACCTCTACTCCGTGTGTTTCTCTGCACAGGTCCCGTGCACCCAGGATGCGATCTTCCCAGATGTCCTTCACTCCGGTGTTGGGACACCACAGACCCTGGGTGCACCCGCGGCGGAAGATGCGAGCCAAGCCCCAGGCGACGACCTCTCCCCCTCCGCCGCCTGCAGTCTTCGAGATCTCCACTCGGAACCGCTCCGCGAGACGAAACGCGATGCTGTGATCGTTGGAGACTCCAACGTTCGGCACGTCCGTGCTAC